TGGAAAACTGGAAAAACAAACTTTTTCCTGTCAAACTGAGCTGTCTTTGACATTTCTCATAGATAAACTACAGAAATGGGAACAAATGATGTGGTTTGTAAATAAGCAGCTACTAACAAAGAGCCTAAAGACATATAAAGCTGGTTCTTTGCCAAACTGTGATGTGCAGACACAGCGCTCGCTTTGCTGCAGCCGAGTGTTCGTGCTGCAATATGAACTCTAATCTTAAATCTTAGATTGAATGAAACTCAAACATTTCTCATGAATAAAAACTGATGACAGATATAAAACTACAGTAACTGTGGCGTGAATGAATGTCCACGTTCAAATTCTTCATGTTGTTCGCACCGTAGAGCGAAAGCTTTTTACTGCAGGAAGACCCGTTCGATGAGTCGGGGTCCGAATAACAACGATAAACACCTGGAGAGTGTCGACGGGACGAACTCTGACTAAAACCAAGAATAGTAAAAGACTGATTCATCTGAAATATTATGTTTAAATACATGTTTTCAGTAACTCGTGTATATTTGGGGACGTTGGGGACGAACACGTCAGTGGTTGAAGAGCGCCTCAGCCTAACTGAAGAAACAGATCCAGGCTCTGATGTTTAAAGAGAGCGATCGAGGAGGAAGTTTGAAATTCTCATTTGCATTTAAATGCATCAGATCTCAGTGACATCATGTTATTTCTGCCCAATCTCTGCCCTGCTTTCGCCACAGCTCAGTGAGAGGGCGGGGTCGGGAGGCCGTGCAGGGATTGGCTAAGCTGAAGCAGGAAGCTTTGTGTGGTCAGCGAACGTTTCTGGTCTCTGCAGGATTATCAGGCTGGAAAAATAAACCCTGGAATATTTTGTATGCATTGTGCAGCGTGATTCCTGTCAGTCAGCCTAGAGACTGAACCTTCCTGTAAAAGGAACTGATGGATGGATGAGAGTCAGATAAATCCTGACGTCACTTCCCAGCATTCGCTGTCCTGCTGGCTGAATACAGACGAGCTGTGAGCTCTTCTCGGGGTTGTGAGAGCAGGTCGGGGGTCTGTCTGTGCTCGGTGCCCTGATTCGTCCTCCTTTGATTCAGAGGAATGTCTCCTCTGCTGTCCCTGTGTCCTCTCCTGCACGCTGCACATCCTCATCTCCTCAGAGAGAGAGAAACCCCTCCCCGCTCTCTTTAAATAAGAGGGCGGAGCTAACAGCAGCACCTGCGCGCAGCAGATCATCAGACAGACGTGACGTCGTCATTAGTTTGTAACAGCGGGAGGAGAAAGAGGAGCGCACACAGTGTTCAGTTACAGCGAACAGGTTGAAGGAGGCAGATGCAGCAGATCTGCTGACACAGTGAAAAAAACACCGACAACCTCATCCACTTCAACCCCACCTGCTGCTGCGCCCGTGTCTGTGTTACTGTCACCTCCTCACCCAGCCGGGAGGAGCACGCCAGCCTGACTAACACTCCTGCAAAAATTTAGCATCACAAAGAGACACATTTACAGAGTGCAGCTGCAGCTGCACAATGTTATTTATAGAGACATATGCATGCAGGGGAGGAAACCACGCTGCAGGATTTATAAGCTCATTTGTTTCTGTGTCAACATCTCAAATATACAAGAAGAAAACAAATGCAAACATAAAAAATGGATTCAAGACAGAATATATCCAAGAAAAAGTCTGTGAGCGTGGATATCTGAGGCACTATCAAACATTTATGACTGTGCAGTCGTGACACCAGCCGACAGCGACTTTAATAAATACCCATGGCGCCGCGTGCATTTCCACACGTGACACAGTCACTGTGGAACTGAATCAGGATCTGAGAGTGAATACGGTCTGTGTTCTCGTGCACAGCGTCGGGTCAGCTGCAGACTTCAGGTTTAGCTCTGCTCTGGATGAAGCCGCCGGAGGAAAGTCTGAATCCAGTAACAGTGGAG